TCAAACCCATATTAATGGTCCAACCCACAATTTTTCTATATATACTTATGGGAAACTTGTAAACCCTAATCAAATTATCACTCAATGCAACCATTTCATGTTCTACTCCTTCTCCATTTCTTGTTCAATTTGAGAGATTTGAACACAATTTAGAGATGAAAGGATCTCTAAGAAAAAAGATTTGAACACAACCGTTCAATTTGAGAGATCTTTCCAAAAAGAAAAAAAAATCGTTTACAATTTGGAAATTTCAGAAAAGGATCTCTAAGATGAAAGTTTTTGGAATTTTTGGAAGATTAATCTCCAAGATCTGGAATTTTCCGGCCAGATCCAATTTTGGTGGTCAACTGGCGAAGCGCACAGTCGACGAACCAAGTCCGGCCCGCGCCAACAGCGTGATGATCACCGTTGCACCGCTCTCACCAGCCTCACCTCTAGCTTCATGAAACCGCTTGCGCCATTAATGGCGCAGGGAGGCTCTGTTTCTCGAGCTAGAAGCCAACCTGAGGAGGGCATGCACCGTTGCTGCTAAAAACTGAAGCCAACCTGCTACACTTTCGGATCTCTACCTCCGTTAGAGTGAAGCCAGCTGCGCGAATCGGCCAGGGGTTGCGACCAGCGACGGCCGACGGGTTACCACTTGAGGCAGCAGGTCGTCCTCCTGACCATTTCGGCCGATGCCGCCGTGGTCAGCGTTGACTCCGTCGACTTGAGCCTCCGAGAATGACGAACTCTAAGCCCACAGCGCCCCAGGACGCATCAGCAGCGGAGTGCCGAAGGTTGTGAAATGAATGACACGATGGGTTTTCCTCCAAGACCTAGCTCCGGTCAAAACCCAGTGGGCCAAGGCTAATAATCCCAAGAATGATTCTCGCCAATCATAGTGGGCCTCAAATTCAGCAACATATCCAATGTTTAGCCCACTCCAAAAGCTAAGTACTTCAAATGGCTCTCTTTACACATTTAAACAGTTAAAGTATTATTAATATTATTACCGAGTATTATACTACCTCCATTCCACTATGTGTGGTGGGACAAAGAAGTATGACACAACTTTTAAAAAAAAGTGGAATTGTGTGGCTCTTTCCAACCATGAGAGTATGGATTCCTTCTACTTTAAAAAAATGAATTTTTTAAAGTGATTTTAGAGATAGTGATTAATAGTAAAAGTTGGTAGTGTTTGAAAGTAAAGTGATTCTAAAAAAGTAAAAGTTGACAAGTTAATAGAAAACGTGTTTGAAGCACCTCTCAATTTGCTTCCAGTTTTTAGCTTTTAAGTGATTAATTTAAGTAGAAGCTATCATTTAAAAACACTAATTTCAGCTATTTTTAAGCCGAAAGTTGAAAAACACTTATTTTAATCTTTAGCAAACACTCCCTGTGTTTGGGACAAAGAAGTATGACACAACTTTTAAGAAAAAGTGAAATTGTGGGGTTGGTACTGAATTGATAAAGTGAATAAAAAAAGAATGAATTGTAATCACCCAAATATTACCAAATATGGTATAAGACAACCTTAATGGGACAGACGAAAAAGGTAAAATGAGACAAAGTAGGGGGACAGAGGGAGCAACCGTTACTGTTATTATTATCATCGTCATCGTTACTGACGGGTCAAAGTCCCCTGGCGTGGTGCGAGTCAAGCTCTTTGAAATTAATTTTTCAAAGTGTTTCAAATTAAAGCATATATTTTTAAAACTCTAGATCCATTTTGGAATTGTAATATGCTTCACTTTAGGTCAATCAAGATTATAATAGACAATATGAGAAGTTATCGACGTTATAAAAAAAGGCTAGTCATGCTGGTCAAAGTAAATTATTTGAAAAGTAAACATAAAAATAAATACTTACAAGTTACCATGAAAAAAATGATTACAAATTATTTAAAGTACGTAGATACAGATAGAAAGTCTTTGCGTGCATGATGATGAAATGAAGGGGTTGCATCATTGGATACAAAAGTTATTAATAGATAAGTAGTTTTTTATTCAAATTAATCATTGATCTTTTGTCCATTATACCAATTTAAGAGACGTCATCATAATGCTCAACTTGACTGTCATTGAAGGTTTTTGTATTTAAAGGATCTTTGTTGACTAAAAACGAAAAGTAGTGCCATGTGATATATCGTGACACCGTTATTGTTGAACTCTAGGAGATTGCATCTTGATGAATTATACCAGTGTGTGTAATCAGCATAACCATAGTGTACATTACTTATTATTTTATGACTTTTCATTGTTCTGTAAATATTTCATGAGATAAGTAAATTGATTATTAATACATATTTTTTGACATGTTAATTGGTATGTATACGTTCACATGTCATATTCGACTCGTATACATATCTAGTGGAATATCCAATTAATTGGTATGTATACATATCAATTAACTTACGTAATCAAAACACATGTAATAATAATCAACATACATATCACATGAAAATTTTAATAGAATAATGGGAAGTCACTAAATAACATGCAATGTGCACTATGATAGTGTCACGACATATCACACACATATCACTACTTTCCTTTTTAGGTCAACAAAGATTCTTTGAAGAGAAACATTTAATGACAACAAAAGTTGTACATAATGATGACGTTTCTCAAATTGATAATAGACAGAAGATCAGTGATTAATTTGAGTAAAAAATGACTTATCTGTTATTGACCTCATGTATCTCTCTAGTGACATAGTTTAATGCGCATGGTGCAACAAGAGTTTAATTTACTCTTCAGGAATACAAATTATTGAAGTAAAAGGTGAAAGGTATTTACAATGGTAAGCATTTGTACATTCTGTCTATAGAATAATTGATGTCCATTAATACAGTCTCTTTCAGAGGAACAACATTTGGAGGCTGAAGAGAGATTAATAACTTTGCATAGAATAGTGCATTTTCCTTCTTAAACTTACACAAATGATCACTATGCCACAAAAGGCAAAACTTAAAGTCTTCAATTGGAACTAGACAATCAAAAGACTCTTCTTTTGGGTAAAAAATAATTCTGAAATCTAGGCAAACGAATATCGGAAGCCTCGCTAGTGCTGATGTTGACTAAAAATAGAATGTTATCAGTTTTGACAAATGCCTCTTTCAAGCTCTTATACCCATACAAGATACCATTTTGAAGTGTGGAAGGGTAACCAATAATACTAAATAATAAACAATAATCTAACGTCTCCCACATAAGACTGTCATTCTCACTCTTATGAAGAAAAAGTAGTGGAACTGAATTTTCTACTATCGAAACCAAAACACCATCCTCCGTAGCGGCACAGAAATGTACCCTAGAACGCTTGTTTTCGGATGGAAGCAAAAGTTCTCAAACTGCCCCTCCATCGATTGAATAAACATAGGCCCAAGATTGATGACCCAATACAAAGTGAATGTTATTGAGAAATACGTAAATAGAACTCTCGGAAGAAATTATAGAACATGTTGCGGAGAGGCAACAACTGAATGGAAGGTCTTTGAACTGCAATTTATTATCATGTGGGGCTAAATAATACATTTGATTTGAATGACAATTAGCCCCAAAAAAGTAAAGCACACCTTGTACAAGAACGCATTTAGCCTCTTGTAATAGTGTTTCTGAATGAGACAAGAAATCTCGATAACTATAAGATCTTTGATACTATTTCCTGTGATGATGAAACACTTATAACTCACCTTTCCATCTTTTTACCTGGCTATCAAAGATCCAATAAGAAGGTGAGCGATAAGTGTTTCATCATCACATGAAATAGTATTAAAGATCTCATAGTTATCGAAATTTATTTGTCTCATTTAAAAGCATTATTCATCCCAGGATATCTTAACCTTTTGATGTTTTCAACTCATGATATTCTATTCTATTTGTTTATCTTAGAAACAAAAGAAGAGTGGGAACGGGTGGGTTGAACAAATTCTGTAGTGTAACACCAGAATTTGAGGTTGTTGTTGGCCAACTGACACTCCCCAGAACCGAGGTTAGGTCCTCATTTGAAGTTAAACACTGATCAGAATAATAAGTACTAACACACCTTTCTTTTCCAAACCAGATTGTGAAGCAGCTGTGGGCTTACATCAGGAAGCACAAGCTACAAATGATTAGAATCTTATGGTGGAAGTACGTTTTTTAATTTCTATATATCTATAATTACTTACATTATGGACGAATGGTTCATGAACACATGTGGTAATAAATTATTAATAGCGGATCATGAAAACCACAAACATGCAACCTCCACATTTTATAAGTATTTAATATTTCCAGGAATGAATTTTTGTGAACATTTTTGCATCTAAAGTTAATGAGTTTGGTTTTATTGTTATATTAGGTTATGTAGGATTTTTCAGATTCTCTTGTCACTCGCCAAACTATGAGGCATCAAGGGTCTCATGAACATTACAATGGATATGTTGCTAGATATCATGGTGAAAAAGGTTGAGGGAGTGAGGTGGCGGAGCCCTTAAAGATGCTAGCTTCAGGGGAGGTTCGTAGTCAAATCAAGGCAGTTGTAGTTCCTAGATTAATTATCAAATGCATCGGCTTCTAAATAATGTAACAGAGTCTACTTTCTGCATATTTTTTTCATTGTTTAATTTCAGCAAAGTTGTTTTAAACATTTCAGTATTGAGAGATATGGTCCAAACCTAATAGTGTACATTTTACTAAATGCATTGATCCAAAAAGTCACAGAACTAAGCTCCTAAAATGTTGCTAATGCGCTCTTCATCTGAAGAAGGATTCTATTTTCATCTGAAGAAGGATTCATAGTGATTCTTTTTTGTATCCACAGAGAGTGGTGGAGCGAAAAATACACCTACCATAGCTGAAGTTATAGCAGCCACACACATCAAAGGGTAATGTTTAGTTCATCATTATGTCAAACACTTTTTTTCCCTAAAAAAAAGTTTAACACTTTTTTAATCCCTAATTGACCTTGATTTATTCCATAATGAATTGAGTGATAATGGGCACGTGGCTTAAGATATTAAATCTTAGCATAGAAGATGGCATTACACTTTCTATCATTGTGCCACAAAAGACATAGCTTAAAATGACTTGTAGGAATTAAAAATCTCTTCTGGAATTGAAATTTTGAAGCTTGAGCTTTGGAATCTTGTATGTCTTTCCGGTGGATTTTTAAAATGTGCATAAGGTGTAACAAGTCTACCTAATGCGGATTCTGAACGTTTACATCTATATAAAATTTCATGGTAAAAACACAAATATAACAAAAACCACATTAAGAATCAAAATCTAATTTTTCTAATTCAAAATTATCCTTTTTATGAATGTAACGTTTTTTATTCAAATCGCCCTCTATGATTGGCACGAGAACTCCATTATCAATTGCAACCATAGTAGTCAATGGCTAGATATGGCGCGCGTCATATGCGCCATCACCATGAAAGTGTTGTCGTCAGCATAGCACCGTATACGCTATTTGTGCCATTTGTATATGCGCATCCCCATGTGTCATGAAAAATGTCTTTGAGCTATGACAACTATGATTGCAACACAAAAAGATAACATGGAATTCATACTTCTTTGTTGGAGAAGGAGGTTCCTTAGCATCTGCTGTATCGACTAAGGTACACACGATTCATCATCTAGATGCTGATAGCTAACAGGGAGTATGCATACAGAATTTGAGGGCACTCAACGGTGGATTCTGAGAAGTCACCGTTAAAAGACAACTCTTTGAATTTTAAATTGTTGTCTTCATCCAACTAACATACTGCCCCCGAAGTCACCGTTAAAAGACAACTCTTTGAATTTTAAATTGTTGTCTTCATCCAACTAACATACTACCCCCGTCCCGTTTTATTTTAGTCATCTTCAACTTTTTCAGTCAAAGATGGTAAACTTTGATTCATTATTTTAACTAATATATTTATATGGAACTTAATAAATTTATACTTTTATGATAGTATTTTTAACAAAACATTTTCATATTATCAATACTACTGTATAGAAATATATATGTAAGGTCGAAGTTTAACATCCTTGACTAGAAAAGTCAAATATGAGTAAATCAAAAGGGACGGAGGGAATATTCTAGGAGACTTACCGCCAAAGAAGTATAGAAAGCGATTTACATGAGTGCATCTAGCTTCTTTTAAAACCGATTTGAAATAAGAGAGACAATATCATGAACCTCATGATCGGTGAACATACAATCACCCTTGATGATAAAACATATGTCTATAGTCTTTCCTATGCTTTGGTAGGCATGTATGAGCATGGAAACATTTACATCACCTTCTCTCATTTACCTATACATTTCTTCATATTCTTCCCCTTCAATAGACCAAATTTATTATTTAACCCCCACTACTTGAAAAGGTCATATGTCAAAATTGGTAAACCCTATGTTTATTTAACATCAGCACTGCTGTCAATGCTCTAAATGTCCCTAGGCGCCTAGGCGGGATCAGTCGGAGACATCGAAATGATAACTTTATCAATGTTTATGCATAAATGATTAGTAATGTTGTGTTTGTTTGTGTATAAAAAACATACACATACACATTAACATGCATGAATGATAGAGTTGTCTCATTTAATAATATATTATACCTAGTACTTAACTTCATTATGTACGTTTAAAAGTCATGTGTATGAGGAATCTAGGGGGAGTGGCGGCCGCAGCTAGGTTTTAGTCTGCGTTTAGGTTGGGGTCGGCGATTTCCCAATCGCTCGACGTTTTTTGTTACGTAGCTAGAAGGCGACGAGCCTTCATCAAGTCTGCAGGGGTCTTGCGCAGAACGTACAACAACCTTCGAGCGTACAAAGGAGGAATAACTGTTTGTTAGATCAGGGAGTGTGAGACGACAAAGAAACGCTTGGGGATACTTTCAATTTGCAGCGAGCGTGGCCTGAGATTACAGAGGGGCTGCGCTAATTCTTAGGATTGAGGCTGAAAATACCTACGGATCTATCTTTGTTTTCCAATTTGGCAACAATGGCTTTAAATGGTTTCGTGGACAGTGGATCTGGATCAGCTAGGGGTGTGAAACCCGAATTTCCAATACTTGGATTAGCTATTCTGGCTGTGATGGTGATTGAGATGGGAGTTGTACCAGCTGTGTTTAATCCGGGTGGGACGCTGATTGTATGGGTCCCACTTAAAGGGAGGGAACTTGGGTTCCAATCAGCTATTGGGGGATCGGTACGGTGGTTTTCTTGGCCGCCTAGGGCAGTGGAGGAAGAAGATGGTATGTGAAAGGTTCGTCCCCCTCCCAAACCGCCGCCATTGAGGAAGGGTGTGGCTAGGTTCTGGAGTATGATGCTTGGAGAATGGACTCTGTTGTTTCACCAGATGAAGTTTAGTTACTTTTACTATGTTCTGCTTACTTATCTTTATTTTGTTTTTAGTAGATCTAATATTAAGGGAGACAGGTTCTTAGTTTGCTTTATCTTAATTGCTAGTTTTCTGGTGAGAGGCAATCAGGCTGATGCAGCTGTTAATAGCCTCAAAGCTCTCACTTTTTCAGCGATTAGTCTCGCTCCTTTTGGGGTGGACTATTCTATATTTGATAAAGAAGTGAAGGGGCAGATGGGCTTATGGTTAGGTTGGTTTAGAAGGAGGTTAGCTTTGGATGATTACTTTACGATTTGCAATTTTCCCATGTTACTGCGAGTTGATTTAATATAATATGTCGATTTTCCTTTAAAAAAAACTTCATTATGTAATAAATAATATTCTCTCCGTCCCATTTAAAGGTTCTCACTTTCCTTTTTTGTAAGTCCCACTTAATGGTTCCCACTTTCTATTTTAAGAAACAATTAACATTCTTAAATAACAATTTAATCATCAAATATTAAAAATAATACATTTATAACATTACCATTATCATCAATAACTCATTATATTATATACTCATCAAAATTATTTCTCAAAATATATTTGAATTAGCATATTGAATTATTGTTTAAATAATCGTGTCATTTTGCCATGAGAACCTTTTAACGGGACGGAGGTAGTATTGAATAATAATAACACTTAACATTATATATAAATATGTATAGTTTCTATCTTAGTTTACAACTAATAGCTTTCTTTTTATGTGTTGTTAAAGTTGAAGGTACATATATCCCCTAGAATACTAAAATAAAAAAGCAAAATAAAATGTTTGACGAATCTAGACGCCTTAGGCGGTCGATTAAGCGCTCTAGTGGGCAACTAGGTGACCTAGTTAGCCGATTAATTCACTTAAGTACCACATCAGTTAATCATGTAGATCATAGGCCAAATTAGTTTCACTTTCAGCAAGTTCTAGATTTAATTCTTTTTTTATACCAGATTCAATTCTTTATTTACTAAAGGCGAATCATTTGAATGAATATCTTAAATACGCTCAGTAATCCAAATTTGGGTACACTACCGAAATACCTTTTCACCCTTAATCGTAAAATTTCAAAGAAAAAAAACACATTCAGAAATACATAAATTTATTAATTTAATCTTAACATTCAAAAGAAATTTTATAATTAATTCAAAAAAAAATTTAATAAGAATTGGTTGAGGTCTCAAGGGAGATACACATATGACAATAGATTTGTTGTGGTATCAGATTTGCAATTGGAAGGGGTTTAAAAATTGGACCAAAAGGACATCATTTGGAGTTTTAAAATAAAAAGTTTTAAAAATAGAAATAAAAGCCACGAGGGGGAGTCGAACCCAGCATGTCATGCACAAGGAAAGATTTCCACCCACTCATGATACCATTACTCCGTTGCACCAATATGGTTTCTAACTCGATATCTTTGACATATTTATGTAATTTATACAGGTAATTTTGTAAAATATATGTAATATATATAGGTAAATTTTTCGAAGACCACGGGGTCCTGGGACCCCATGGGACCCTTAGTGGGTCCGCCATTGCGAGCAACACCGCCTCGCACCTCCTTTTGCTGGTAAGGATCAGATCGGTGGGTGACAGAGATCAAATTCTTTTTGCTTCTATAGAGGAGAGTTAGTGACGTTTGGGATGTACTGGCAGGCCGGCTGGTTGATTTTGAGACACTATATTCAGCTGCTCTAGCTAAACACTGCTCACAAAAGTAGGAGTAAATAAGTTTTGGAATTCCAAAATAGGACTACTATGTTTTTCTTCCTGAAATAGGAGTAACATGATTGCCATCTTTTAGTCATTACTATAATGAATGACAATACTTTTCAATCATAGCGGTAATGACTCCTATTTCGGGAAGGAAAACATAAAAGTCTTATTTTGGAATTCTAAAACCTATTTAGTCCTATTTAGGACAATTTCCCTTATTCGATCTATACTACATACGAGTCTCTATTTATCCATCTGTTCTCTTACTCTTCCTATACCACGTTTCTTCAGTTTTTGGATGGGTGTTTTATGCATATAAATTGTCATTTTCCAATTGTTTATCACATTGAACTTGTGTAATGTATTTTTGTATTTTAAATTACGTAGTATTTGTTTGCAAATGAACCCTTCAAATGTAATTGATCTCCATAGATAGTGCTGCTGCAGATATACTACAGGGTACCACCCGTTTTGGAACAGTGGTATTCAAGGTTCGTTGGGTTTTGACTTGCTAAAAAAATAGCATGTACTTGTATGAATTACCAAGTTTAAGATTTACTTCAGTCATTATCATTTCAAGTAGTTATCCAAACTTTGTTAAGGTGTTTCAAAGTTTGTTATTTTAATTTTTCATTCGAGATTTCAGAAAAACTGCTAAAAGTTCGGAACAAGATGATGTTAAGAGACCATTGTTTGGAAAACTATACACACACGGCCTTCATAAGTTATTGGATTCAATAGGTTGTTGGAAGATCATGTGGTATTATTTATTCTCAGTTTATTTTTTCTATTTGTCCCATTTATTTCACTCTTTTACACTCATGTTAACTAATCTTCTAAATTTTCTATGACTATCTGTTGACCATTGATCTTAGCTAGTCTATGCAAAAAAAAAAAAACTTAACATGTTTGTTTAGATACTTTAGGAGTTTAGGTCCTTGTTACTGGAAGAGAAGACTCAGATATGCCCACATCCCCTCCAATAAATGGAACACAATCTTTAAATGCATTCCAAGATTGGATTCAGCTGCTTCCATAGCTGCTTTCTGCTCTATTAAATTGTTGGTGGCTGCTTCGCAAGCGGCTCACTTGATAGGGAAGCAAGGGTCCACTATTTAATCAATTCAAGAAAGTTCTAGTGCATCACTTGAACCGCAACAAATAGTTAATTATAACTACAGCCATAGTTGTCATGGCGCATGGCGATGGCACATATGGCGCTATGGCGATGACTACTTTTTCATGGCAATGATGAATATGGCGCACACCATTTCTCGCCATTGACTACTATGACTGCAGTAAATAACACTCTTTCTAGTAGTAGCCTCTTTCTTATTATCCTATAATAATCTATATAGACAAGTTGGATGAAAGGGACCACATCTCCACTCCCAAGGATTTATTTAATCCTGCTAAAATAATAAAAACATAAACACATCTCTGCACAGGAGTTCATGAATCTTTGAGAAAGAAATTTGTGAACTCTTATTAGAGAAATGTGTGGGTGAGATAGATTAGGGGTGACTGGGTGAGGTCATATTTACATTTCAAACTAAACTAGCTTGGCAATTTTACACAGTTGTTTGTAGGCATGGACCCGGTTCGGGCCGCCCGGCCCGGGACCGGCCCGGCCCTCCACTGTGCGGGCCCAGAACCGGCCCGGTTCTCGGGTCCGGGTCCGGGTCGGGCCTAGGCCCGGTGGGGGGCGGGTCCGGGCTCGGGCCTTGTATTTGGTGAACCGGCCCGGCCGGGTCGGGCCCGGGCCGAATTGATTTTTTTTATATTTTTTTTCATTTTTTGGGGTTAGCCGGGTTGGACTTGATGGTTAGGAGGGGTTTGGGGGTTTGGGGGGTGAGTGGGGGTTAGGAAAGCAAAAAAAAAAAATTATGACCGAACCGGAGGCCCGGACCCGGACTGGACCCGGTGGTTACCCCACTACTAGAAAAATGCCTTACAGTGACACTTTGTCTGTGACACTATAATGACATAAAGACTTTTATGACACTTCTATATCACTAATTTGTGACACTACAATGACATAAAGACCTTTATGACACTTCTATATCACTAATTTGTGACACTATTACATCAACCTATAAAGTGACATTCCAAAACAGTTTTTTAATTAGTTTTCATATTTTTTAAAATTTCAAAAACACTTATACCAAAAAAAAATCAAAAACACTTATACATATATATATATACGTGTAAACATTTGCATCTCTCATTCAATCAACACACAACGCCCTTTTCCTACACTGTCGTGACCTAGCCCAGAAACGCCAGACGGATGGACCTCATCGCCACTCACCGAACGCACAACTTCGCCGCCTGGACGATTGGATTTTGTTCCCCTTCGATGGCAATCCTCGGTTCCTCAAGAGCTCGCCCTTGCCCTAGCTGACTGATGGATCGAGTTGGTGAGTCCTTAACTTCTCCTTGAGATTTCCGGTCGACAAACGGAGACACTAGCCGGTAGGTACTCGATCTCTAGCTTAACATCTATATTATTACCTCCTTAACAATTGCAAATTTGTTGTAACAAAATCACATCAGCCGACCTTGTCATGTGAAATTGCAGACGTAATTCTCAGATAAAAATGATTTTTGCATACTGTATATGTAATTATTTTTACAGGTAATGTTCAGTTTATGTATACTTATTCTCTTTTTTTGTGTATTTGTTGGGATTTTTAATTTCTTTTCGTTTGATAGAAAATGGAAATGTCTATTTCTCAGTGCATTTTTCTAATGCCAACCAACTGTTTGTAAAAAAGCCTCGGTGAAAGGAATAGCTTATGAGGTAGTCGCCAAAGGCATTCTGAAGGTAGTCTCTCTATAGTAGTTGTGGGAAAAGATTAGAGTTTTGTTATGTTTTTATTATTTCTATATTTGTAAGTAATAGCTTTTGTGGTCCTGTAGGCTAGGAGTTAAACAATGAAAAAATCATCCATGTGCTGGTTTACGCTCAAATTTAGTGCCTTGAAAAATAGCTTATGCAGTCACTAACAACTCAGTAGAATCTTTTTTAGGACTTAATCCTGATTTGTTTTGGGAAATATATTGTTCAATTCAATATAATTGTGAAGTTAGAGGACCTAATACTCCGTTTTTAGGCTTACCTCACTTTTGCAAATTTTGCAGGTTTACAGTTTACCCCACTTTTTCAGTTTGGCAAAAACCAAGGTAGAGTTGATATAATCTTTTACTGGTTTTTAGCTAAAATGATCTCTCCTAATTATGTCTTTTCCCTACTTCGCGTATTTAGAGTTTTTGTGAAGTATTATGATTTATGACAACCATTTTTTATAGCATTCACTTTTCTCTACCTTTTGGATTGCATAGGCCAAATTTTCAGCGGGGTTTCCCTAGAAAGTGTTTGAATAATATTGAGAGGTAACTTTGAATAGGTTTCTCCGGTTTTTTTATAGAATGCATTTAGATATAATACTGAGAGGTGACTTCTCTAAGTTTATTGATTACTACGAAGTATTATAATTATATTTTTATTTTAGTTTTCACTTATACCAGTTGCGAAGTAACTACTTTGATTGAGTAGTTCCAACTACAGCTACAGCTTCTATTTCTTTTATTAAGATATCTCAATGATGGAGTTTTCCCAAATAATGATCATTAAGTGGTGAAGGTTTTAATTGAGTTTGGTGATTGATCTTATACAAATAGGTACTATTCAGGAGAAGAATTCATAAGAGATGGGATCAAGCATGTCAAGGTACAAAGGCAGAGTAATTCTCACTTAGTCATATCTCAATACTGGTTGTGTCTTTAAGCACCTTATTCATTCCATAGGTTAGGTGCAAGGTACATAATAGTAGTTACTTGCAGCTTCTGTAAACCTTAGATAACTGGCAGTACAAGGTTCTCATCTCACTTTAGATTAGATTTGGTTGTCTGCCAAAAACAGATTACCTTTTTCTAGAAGCACCGGCACTTGTTTACTTGAATTATTTTTTTGTTTGATTTTATTGTTTGAGTTATAACTGTCATTCATTTTACATGTGATACCATTTCCTATGTCATGTATATTGCAGGTTGTACACAATAAGGACCATCCAAAACCTATAAAGGTACATTGCACTTGCTCTTTAAATTGTTTTTTACCATTGGGAATAGAGTTTACATACTAATGGAAAGGTCAGATTTCTAAATATCCAACAAGTTAGAACTAATTTTTTATGACCAAGTTAGTTTATTCAAATTTTATTAGAAAGTATTTTCAATGTTCAGGTATGTGCACCACCCAATTGTATATAACAAAGTCATATAATGACTTTGCCTCATTAGAGTACTTGTAACTTTGTGAGGTTGTGTTTTGAATGACTAATCTATAGATTTTTTAATCTTGAAAGAAATGCATTTATACATAAAAATTTTCCCAAGTGAAGGAAATAAAACAGATGAAGGTCATGTAGTTATGGCAAGGTATATCAGTTAATCAGTCGCACAATATAATATAGGCTAAAGGGTCAAATAGGCCCCTGTACCTGTTCGGAATGCTCAATTCGCACCCCGATCTCAAATAAGCTCCAATTCACCCCCTGAACTTGCTAAAAAAGTTCAAATCTCATTTTTTGCAGGTAAATTTCCGGTCATCGCCATGTCAGCCGGTTAGATGCCAACCGTGCATCCCATGTGGAATTGTTCTAAACATGTAGAACAATTCTAACGGTCTTTCATATGATGTATAAGTCATATGAAAAGGAATGAAAGAAGAAAAGTTGAATAAGATAACTTTACCTTTATTTCCAACGTTTTTCTCCTCTTTCCTCTAATTCCCTTTCTTCCTTGGACCTCATATTGATAGTACACAACCTTCTAGCTATGGAGTAACACTTGCAGAGTTCTTTCTTCACAATGGAGGTGGTATGGTCGCATTAATGGCTAAGGGGAGGGATAAGACCTTCCTTTGGCTTATTCCACAATGATAACATGGCATGGACCCCTCTTATGTTCTTTTGATGCCAATCTCTTCAAGTCAACACCTCCTACACCCCTCCATCCCATCCAGTCGACCTCCCCTCTCTCACAACCCATACAAATTCGTGGGGTGCCCCCACCCATGTGGGAGGTCACCCCTTTAAGTCCCGAAGTGTACACTCGACCCCGAAAGTTGTATTTCTCGGACTGTTTCAATTATATTTCATTTTATCAAACCAAATGAAATATATAACACGTTCCCAATCACTTTGGGCCTTTAGAATGAATATTCATTACTCAACTTTAATTTAGAAGTCCCCGAAATTCATTTTGGGTTGTTATCTCATAAATTACCAATATCGATAATTGGGTCTCGTTTGACCAACCGGTCAACCCTATGCCTTTTCTATAGCCCAACTAGAATATCCACCACCATAATATGTAGTCCTAGAAATATCAGGTGGGCCTTACGTGAATTAACAGAATTTACAACCTTGTGAATTTATTAACCATTGCATAACGTTCAATACATTATTCACCTAAAAGTAAATACACTTCGGGACGGTGTTACAAGTTCACCCCCTTATTTGGGATTTTGTCCACGAAATCAACGTGTCTAGTAAAAAAGAAACATGTATTGCTCCCTCATTGAGACCTCGGTCTCTCATGTTTCTTCTTCGACTAGATCACTCCTCCATAGAACCTTTACCATAGTAATCTCCCTGCTCCTCAATTTTTTTACCTGTTAACCAACTATCTTCACCGGCTCCACTGCATATTGCAAGTGCTCACGGATCTCTACCGATGATTTCTCGAGAATATTAGACACATCTCGTACGTACTTCTTAAGCATTGATACATGAAACACGTCATGTATTTTTGAAGTTCCGGTGTCATCTTGAGACGGTAAGCCACGACCCCGATCCTTTCAAGGATTTCAAACGGATCAATGTATCGGAGGTTAATCTTGCCCCTTGATATGAATCAGATGATACCTTTCCAAGGAAAAATCTTTAGAAACACCTTATCACTAACTTCAAACTCCAACGGTCTACTCCGTGTATCGACATAGCTCTTCTGCCGATCTCAGGCAATCATGAGTCTATCCATTGGTCTTCCCGGGATGATAGTCGATGATCATTTCATAATCAACTCTTCATGATCAACTCCATCCATCTTCTTTGCCTCATATTCAACTCTTTGTGGTTGAATACATACCTTAAACTCTTGTGATCGGTATAGTTGTGGCATGTCTCCGTAGAGATAATGCCTTTAAATCTTCAGTGCAAACACTACCACCCCCAGTTCTAGATCATGGGTAGGGTGGATCACCTCATGTTTCCTCAATTGCCTAGAAGCATAGGCAATCACCTTATCGGTTTGCATCAACACACATCCAAGCCCTTGGATGCTAGCATCACTATAGATATCATACCTTATCCCTTGTATGGGTAAGGCAAGAACTGGTGCCTTGGTAAGTCATTTCTTTAGCTCAAGAAACCCCTTCTCTCACTTGTTGTCCCATATAAACAGTCCCCTTTTTCGTGAGCTTCGTAAGTGGCAATGCCAACACGGAAAATTTCTCAACAAATTTACGATAGTATCCTGCTAAGCCAAGGAAATTATGTGTCTCCTTCACATTCTTGGGTCGTTCCCAACCAATGATAGGCTCTATCTTTGCATTGTCCACCACAATGCCCGATCCGGATATGACATGTCCAAGAAAGCCAATCTCTTTAGATCAAAATTCACATTTGGATAACTTGACAAAGAGTTGCTTCTCCCTTAGTCTTTCAAGCACAAGCCCTTAAGTGATGCTCATGTTCTTCCTCATTCTTCGAGTATATCAAGATATCATCAATAAATACAATACAAATTGATCTAAGTACTCACTAAACCCACGGTTCATCAAGTCCATGAATGCCGCTGGTGCATTGGTTAACCCAAATGACATTACAAGAAACTCGTAGTGACCATACCTACTGCGAAATGCACTCTTAGGTATGTCACCCTCCTTACAAAAAATATCTCTAGAATTGCAATTTCCATCTTTTAACATAAATAAGCCATATCGCATAACAGCTTCATGAACACGCTAAGAGAAATCAAGTTCCTCATCGAACTTCTTTAGAACATAAGTCGGATTTGTTTGTCCTCCAACCTAAAAAATAAAAATAAAAATTAATATTAAACTTAAGCAACATTTTATGTGTAAGAAAATGTAATAATAAAGAAACAAAAGATTACACCGGCATGTTATTCAGCATTTCTAAAAACTCTCACTATGTCGCATGCACCGTACACGTACGTTTCCCTTTTAGCATATTTGAACAGTTCATCCTTATCATCCTTATCGATACCAACATCGATCCCCTTATTTAAAGAATATTTCAGTGATGAAACATAAAAGGTTTTTGTAAAACTATCAGCATCTATGCTATTCACCGCAACCTTTCAATCATAATTGAGACATGATCCAAAATTAGTCGTTGATCTACTGCTTTGCTCTATCAGCACATACAAATATTCATAAAGTTTTTTATGAAAGTTCAACTGGGCATCCTCGTTGCCCCATAAAAATGAGGGGTAAACAACAAAAGCTTTGGAACCTTAATCACTTAATTCTGTCTCAGTAATTGCTCCCAACATGATGAAATTAAAGTAGGATTTGAATTGCTCAGGGAATCCATTGTCCCATGAATGCAACCAAACTTGAGATTAATAAGGCTCAATGTAGAGCCTTCTGGGATCAGTTCCATTTCCAATTCCTCGAACTCATGCATATAAAGCCTTGAGATCATCACAAAAATTGCTTTCCGAGGAAAAATTCTATCTTTATTAGACATTTCAGCTTTTTCGAAAAGCAAGTTTTGTGATGATCTCAAAGCTTTATATGCATGAATTTGAGGAATTGAAAGTGAAATTGATCTCAGAAGGCTCGACATTGAGCCTTATGGATCTCAAGTTTGGCTGTATCCATGGGACAATGAATTCATTGAGCAATTCAAGTCCTACTTTAATTTCATCATGTTGGGATCATTTACTGAGACATAATTAAGTGTTTGGAGTTCTAAAGCTTTTGTTGTTTATCCCTCATTTTTATGGGGCAACAAGGACCTAGTTGAATTTTCATATAAAACTTTATAACTATACGTATGTGCCAATAGAGCAAAACAGTACCTTAGAGACTGATTTTGGATTCTGCCTCAATTATGATTTGAAGGTGGCGGTGAAAGCATGAATGCTGATAGTTTTACAAAAACCTTTTATGTTTCATCACTAATATATTCTTTAGATAAGGGGATTGGTGTTAGTGTCGATAAGGATGATAAAGATGGACTCTTCAAATATGCTGAGAGGGAAACATACGTGTACGGTGCATGCGACATAGTGAGATTTTTCAGAAATGCATGTTTCTTTATTATTACCCTACACATAAAAATGTTGTCTAAGTTTAATATTATTTTTTAGGTCAGAGGACAAAGAAATCCAGCTTATATTTTAAAGAAGGTCAATAAGGAACTTAACTTCTCCTGACGTGTGCATGAAGCTGTTATGCGATATGGCTTATTTATGTTAGAAGTTGGGAGATTGCAATTCTGGAGGTATTTGTTGGAGTAAATAGGTAATGTGTGCGAAATGGTAAATAAAGTTTATCATCATCATCACAATTGATTATGTACTTCTGTTCCTTTTTAATGTAACATTTTCACGCTTGTCAATGCATAAAGTCCATGTCTTCGAAATTGTTAATGTGCATATGATACAAGTGAAATGTGCATATATGACTTGCTGAATAGTTATATGCATATGATATACATATATGACTTACTGAATAGTTATATGCATATGATATATGGTGTTTGTTAGAACGCTTGATGGTAAGTTTAGTAGACAGAAACTCATCTCTAAGGAATTCTTTTACTTTATGAACATCTCTAAGAAATCTAAGATGTTGTCATACTGGTCTTTCTCCATTTTTTGATTGTGTTTGATAGTTTTCATTAATTATATTTTTAATTAATTGATGGAGTTAAATCCAACAACGAGAGCAGATGAAATTTAGGCAGCGTAAGGTAGACAATATTTTTAATTTAGAATTTGGTCCCTTGATAGATAATATACAGGTAATATTTATAGACCTTGGGAACTAGTGTTCTAGGGGGATACTGAAAAATTAAATGCTAATAATGAAATAAGACTCATGTAACATCTCGAACGTTGTGTAATGATTATCCCCTTTAGGTCCACATTTCTTCTGTTTATTCTTGTCTGCTGCCAGATAGCTATGCACGAACGATAGACTGCCACGTAAGCCCTAAGGAAAATCAGACCTCACTAGAACTTCGCTTAGGCTCGAGGTCTGTTGTCCAGCCTAGCTTGGTTGTGGGTTTCTTTCGTGGGTCTCATCCTTAATTAGGCCCACTGGCTAATTAATATTAATCCCGTTTATGGGCTAATCCCATTATGGGCTAATCCCGTTGAGGGCTGGATCCCGTTTACGGGCTTTAATTGTAACTCCGTACTCCCTAAAATCAGCGGAGTTAGATTTTAGGAGAGTAATCGAGCGGGTACTTCAACTTTCGAATCTCTGATGGACTGTAGCGCCGCTCCACATTAAATGCGTCCAATTTGACACATGTCTGCAGCCCGGTACAAAATGATGTGAATAAAGACAGTGTATTTGGATTAACTTATCAATAGAAGTTAAACATCGAGGAGCCGATTGAAAAATACCCAGAGTAAGAAATGTTATCTTATAAAAAAATTATAAGCACCAATGATGGTAAGGGTACATTAGGAATAGAAAAATGTTGGTGTACTAAAGAAGCAATAACAATTTGTTCAATATGCATAATAAATTGTACATTTTTAATTGACTGCTCTTTCTCACCCTGTTCTTCCGTTTCTATTCTGTTGCTTTACGTTAAGTATAAAAAAACCCATCCATTTTCATTCCCATTTCATCTCTTTAGTGAGTTTAATACTAGAGATAATTATCCTAGATATGACTAAAACTTTCCCACTTTCTCAATATATGACCTAACTAGTTTTTTTACTAAAATAATATTAAAAATCATAATATTCAATTAAAATTCGTAATAAATAAATAAATAATTTAGGTGGACACATATACCCTTTAGATTATATCTATAAAATCCTAAGATCCTACTATTTTCTTCAATCCTAGCCTCCATTCTCACGGTCTCACCCTTCCATCGTCTGCCGCTGCCCCATGGGCCGCCGTCCGCCGTTGTCTAAGAGAACGGTTGCTGCCGCCACTCGCTTGATTGTCCTGCCACCCCAGCCCCACGCCTCCTCGCCGCAAACACCGCCCTGACCGAAGCCACCAACCCCCGCGGTCGTCCCTAGACAAGTGCGCCGCCGCCGTCCCTAGACAAGGTCGCCGCCGCCTACTGATCTATGCGCACCACGCCACCACCACATCCTGATCCATGCGATCTGCTGCCCAGCCAGCCGCCAAGCCAATCGCCTTTGTCCGATGCGCTACCTTAACCATTAGAGTTTTGCCAAAAACCTAACAGGGAGGGGGAGTGCGGCGTCGGTCATGTTATTATTGAAGATGGGCTTGTTATTATTATGGCCTGTTCTGTGAAGCTTGAAGATGGGTTTTTAGATTTTTGTTAGACACATAAGGCCACTGCTTTAGATTTGCTACTAGGTGGCCCTCCATTCACATTTTTGCTTTTCCATTTTTGAAATTAGGAGTCTAAAATTAGGGTTTATGGGCATTAAATATGCGCAATGAATATGGGCAGTAAAATCAAAATAGATATTGTTGAGTATTGTGGGTGAATTTAGGGTTTGTGGGCATTAAATATAAGCATTGGACATTGGCAGTGAACATGATCGTGAATATGGCAATATATATGTTGTAAATGTCAGTAAATGAATGCATTAATGAAGTTTATTGTGCAGTGATTATGACCGATAGTGCAGTAAAACATAACAGTAATTTCACCGTGAAACACAATATACTTAATGAGACGTAAAATAATAAAATTATTAAATCTAAAAAAACAAAAAATAACAAAAAACAAATTCCTCAAGTGATTGTGAAGAGAATTAATTTTGCGGAAGTGCAGTGAATATTATCGGATGTGCAGTAAAGTCGTGCATTAATTTTGTGCATTAACGGCAATATAAAGTGCAATAATTTTCATTTTTGGATGGGTGTTTTATGCATATAAATTGTCATTTTCCAATTGTTTATCACATTGAACTTGTGTAATGTATTTTTGTATTTTAAATTACGTAGTATTTATTTGCAAATGAAACCCTTCAAATGTAATTGATCTCCATAGATAGTGCTGCTGCAGATATACTACAGGGTACCACCCGTTTTGGAACAGTGGTATTCAAGGTTCGTTGGGTTTTGACTTGCTAAAAAAATAGCATGTACTTGTATGAATTACCAAGTTTAAGATTTACTTCAGTCATTATCATTTCAAGTAGTTATCCAAACTTTGTTAAGGTGTTTCAAAGTTTGTTATTTTAATTTTTCATTCGAGATTTCAGAAAAACTGCTAAAAGTTCGGAACAAGATGATGTTAAGAGACCATTGTTTGGAAAACTATACACACACGGCCTTCATAAGTTATTGGATTCAATAGGTTGTTGGAAGATCATGTGGTATTATTTATTCTCAGTTTATTTTTTCTATTTGTCCCATTTATTTCACTCTTTTACACTCATGTTAACTAATCTTCTAAATTTTCTATGACTATCTGTTGACCATTGATCTTAGCTAGTCTATGCAAAAAAAAAAAAAACTTAACATGTTTGTTTAGATACTTTAGGAGTTTAGGTCCTTGTTACTGGAAGAGAAGACTCAGATATGCCCACATCCCCTCCAATAAATGGAACACAATCTTTAAATGCATTCCAAGATTGGATTCAGCTGCTTCCATAGCTGCTTTCTGCTCTATTAAATTGTTGGTGGCTGCTTCGCAAGCGGCTCACTTGATAGGGAAGCAAGGGTCCACTATTTAATCAATTCAAGAAAGTTCTAGTGCATCACTTGAACCGCAACAAATAGTTAATTATAACTACAGCCATAGTTGTCATGGCGCATGGCGATGGCACATATGGCGCTATGGCGATGACTACTTTTTCATGGCAATGATGAATATGGCGCACACCATTTCTCGCCATTGACTACTATGACTGCAGTAAATAACACTCTTTCTAGTAGTAGCCTCTTTCTTATTATCCTATAATAATCTATATAGACAAGTTGGATGAAAGGGACCACATCTCCACTCCCAAGGATTTATTTAATCCTGTTAAAATAATAAAAACATAAACACATCTCTGCACAGGAGTTCATGAATCTTTGAGAAAGAAATTTGTGAACTCTTATTAGAGAAATGTGTGGGTGAGATAGATTAGGGGTGACTGGGTGAGGTCATACTTACATTTCAAACTAAACTAGCTTGGCAATTTTACACACTTGTTTGTAACACTTGAATTGACTAAATAGATGAAATCAGTTGATTGGATGGAATTTTTAAAATCCTGCCTAAAAGGCTAAAATGACTGCAATACCTAAGAAAGAATGACAAGAATATTTTTTGAAATTTTTTTAAGTTTTGGGTTGGATTAGGTATTTTGGTTGGATTAGGTATTTTGGGCCATTTGAGGTGGTTTGGGGTGATTTGGGGTGGAGGGGGAGGGGTAGGGAGTTAAATAAGAGAAGAAGAAAAAAAAAATTAAAAATCCGGGTGGCCCGGAACCGGACCCGGAAACGCCCACTACCGGTTCGGGCTCGGGCCTCATTTTTCTGAACCGAGGCCCGAACCGGACCCGAACCGGGCCCGAACCGGACCCGAACCGGGCCCGAACCGGAACCAGTCCACCCCTAGTTTTATTCCTCATCCCTTCAATGATACTACGAATTCATATTGAATGAGCTGCTTTCGGTGCTTGAAAAAATATACATAATCCAAACCTTACCCTTGGTTTAACTAGAGCAACGGCCAAAGTACAAAACCAAAGACATAAATAACCCCGAAAGCCAAAAACGAAATCAAACCCAGCAAATAGCCCATACTTTTCCATACTTTTCCACACATATTGAAGTGTTAATACTCGAAGTGTTAGTAAATATGTTTTTACTTGGATTAGTTTTAGTGCAAGACCAGCGTAGACTTAAAAGACCAAATCAAATTATATCAGATTTAAACAAACCAGATTTTCATAGTTATAAATACACAGAAATCAGACATTTAGGATATTTTTACTTGGATTGTAATTTGTTTGTCTGGTCTGGTCTATTTATGTTTGGTCTAGTCTGGTCTGGTCTGAACTAGTCTGATAAATGTCTGATTTTGTGTATTTTATAACTACGGAAGTCAGGTCTGTTATGGTTTATTTAAGTCTGGTCTGTTCAAGTCTGGTATGGTCTGGTTTGGAACTGAAACCAGTCCAAGTAAAAACATCCTTACAAGACCAAACCAAACAAGTTTAGACTAGACTAGACCACACGAAATTTAAACAGATCAGACCAACAAATTTCAGACCAAGTAAAAACGTCCTAAGTGTTGGTGGGGTCTGAAAGGGAAGGTAAGTGTTAAACATAAATTTTCCATGTTTGGTAGATTTAAAAAAATGAAAAGTTAGTAATGAAAGTCTTTTCGCTAAAAACTACAAAAATATCCTCATGACTAACAAAGCAAAACAAATATAATCTACTACAAATAGAAACATTTTACGAAGAAAATTATATTATGCTACGTATAACTTAGCAGCACCATGAATCTTGTTATTGACAAAAAACTAGGGTTGGACAAAATGGTTTGTACATTTTGAAAATATACTTTGTCTATGTAAATTGTTTGTATAAAATAGGTATATAGACAACTTTTGTTAGATTAAAGAAAAATTCTTGAGTGTGCACACTTTGTCTATGTAAATTGTTTGTATACAGAAGTTGTCTGTATTTCCAGAAGAATTGTATGTATAGAGATAATATTATCTGTGTAGACCTACGCGGTATGCAAATGGTGTACACAAAAAGATGCACACCAAACATTTATGTAGGTAAGTAGGTTAAAGGTATTCTAAATTAGAACGTTGTGATAAGAGAAGACCTATATTATGAACACGATACTATTATTGTGAATGATCTCACATACTATTATTATGAACACTGTTAGAATACGTTAGAATATATGTAAATATATTCTATTTATTATGTATTGATTTAGTTACCTAGTTTGTAGTTATTCAATTCATTGCATATATTTAGTTACCTTATTCATCTCTTGTAATCATGTATATAAACCCATTTGAGTAATGAGAAAACACACGCTGAGTTCTTTCATTACTCAAATGGGTTTATATACATGATTACAAGAGATGAATAAGGTAACTAAATATATGCAATGAATTGAATAACTACAAACTAGGTAACTAAATCAATACATAATAAATAGAATATATTTACATATATTCTAACGTATTCTAACAAACACGATACTATTATTGTGATAATGACACTCTGTCAGCATCATGGTCTCACATATCACTAACATTGTCCCACGTGTCCTTGTGATATTGTGACTCTAACGTCAAATTATTGACAAGTTATGTTGATTGGTGTTATAAATTAATGTACCATACTACAAGCACCGTTTTTAACTACATCGGAAAAGAAGACTCCAAACACCATGAATACATCTATGTTGTGCAAGTATACGTTGCAATTTTGCAAAAGTAGACGAAGTATAGGACACAAACAACTACACTGCAACTTTAAAGTTAGACACAGTCAAACAGACAAATAAAGCAAGTCCGTGAAACAAGGCCAAAATAACCTAAATTACATACTTCGTGAGATATTTTCCCAGCTATCTAATGCGATTTTCAAAAAGGAACTTCACTTCTTCAGGAGAAATATGACTTCTTTTTGCAGTTACTTGCAAGCAAGCCCCGTCGTTTAGCATATGCTGCAACACCCTTGCAATGTTTTTGGAATCGTCTATTCCAAGATGGTGACTGCCTAAAAGGGGAATATTCAGTTCCCTCATCATGGAAAGCATCCCTGGGGCCTGCAGTCCCACAAAACAAAACCAAGCTGAGGTTAACCATTAATGAAAAATGCATCAATTAGAGGGTGGAACTTAAAAAGAGCTCCAATATATATGCTGACCCTTCGCTTATAGAAGTTCAGATATATGTCCTTCAGATTGATCCATTCCATAAAATATGGCGGAAGCTTCATCTTTGATACTTTGCACTGCTGCGGAACTTTTGTTTTCAAATCCCAATTCCCACTGTTACAGGCCATTCATAAGTTTGATCAGTAATTCCTTTCCATGATTTTGTGTTTCATGAGAAAATCAATATGGAAAGCATCTCGAAACAACAGTGCAACATATCAAATCCACATCTGATACACTTGCATATGGAGCATAAGTAGACAAACCAGAAGGCAAAAAGATTCCAAGAATGCTCTAGAACCAAAGATATTTAGTCATGGCTCCATAGCCAGTGACTAGACTAAGAGAGTCCATCTATTGTCTGAAAAGATTATTTGAAAAAAACACTATCGCTTATCACCATGTGTCTATTAACATTTTTTATCTTTTACATTTAAAGAGTTATCCTTTATATTTAAATTAAGGATCAGAAAATCTTGAGAGTGCTTTTCTAGTTTTGTCTTCTCATTTTAGGTGACTTACCAGGTCACAAATGCAGCCTTATTTAGGCAGCCACCCCCCTCCTTTTGCCACAATTCATTCTTAGCTAGCCAAGTTTCAAATTGCTTGATAACTTCTCCGAAAGGGATAGCCGTATCATGCCAAACCCTGGAAGAGTGTAAGCACACCGAAATCAGCACATTAGACACCATCCTTGAACTTAAAAATGGATTATGCCTGGACTAGAACCAAAATATAGAGGATTGAGTCCAAAAGATAAAAAGAGTAACTCTTCATCACTGGATTCTAAATTTTTGTCCTTTTTGTTTTGAGACTTTATTTCATTATGATGTGTTTGGCTAAGGATTTTGGCTCTCGAAATGCTATCTCAAGTTAAACTCATCCCGCATTACGTGTTGGGAGGAGCATTTTGTGAGTGATTTACAAGCGCATAATTTGAAGTAATGCAATGAACTGTAGCTTTTTCAATTTTAGCACCTCGTGTTTGTTATTTTCTTGTTTCAACCATTTTGCACGATCTAAAAGGTTAATTTTTTATATACTACGTTGATGTTTACGTGGTAGTTTACTACTTGAAGTAATTTTCTTGTTATTTTCTTGTTTCAACCATTTTTATATACTACTTTGCACTATTTTCTTGAGAAACCCTCCTAGGGTAGTTTACATTGATGTTTTACGAAACAGTTACCCACAAAATTAATTTAGACTTTTAAAGCAACCCTGTTTTCAAATCAAAGCACGTTTTGAAGATACAGTGTTTTTAAATAACAAAGAAAGTTTTAAAATCATCAAATCAAATTACGTTTTGAAAACATAGTGTTTCTAAAGAAGAAGAAAAAAATTAATAGTATCACTTACCCTAAACAGGCAACAGCCTACTAGTAACAAAATCGCTTTACACCACCTAATCCAAATTTATTAACCATTAAAGACAAGTTATGTAATCTTAGTGTGTATGATTGTGCATAGAAAATACACTGAAGGGAAATTGCCCTAAATAGGACTCTAACGTTTGTGTATCCCAAAATAGGACTATTATGTTTTTATTTCCTAAATAAGAGTAATTACTGCCATGTTTTGGCAATACCAAACTTTAAACTTGGCAGTATTTTCCAAGTTTGGTAGTAACTACACCAATTTAGGGAATAAAAACAGAGAAGTCCTATTTTGAAATTTTCAAACGTTTTTACTCCTATTTTGAGAATTTTCCCTACATTGAAAGCTACAAAAAGAAGTGAACAACATTATAGAAAGGAAAGCCAAAATCATACCTGTCAACCCCAATTTTCCCATACTTTCCTTCTATATATTCATTTATTCTTTGCTCGCTCATTTTTGAAGGCCGGACAAACCTGTACAAATATTTGTGAAAAAAACAAAAGAGCATATGATTGAAATGTATTCTCTCTGCACCCAATTATTGTTTTGACATGAAACAAACTCAAGTAGCCTGGAAACACAATGTAATATGGCCACTTGTTTATAAAGAGTCACCTCACATGTAAAAGACTATAATTGTTGGTTTGTGTTTTAAATTTGTCTCAGTCCACTTAGAGCTTCCTTTCGTGCCTTGACGGCCTTGTTAAGTTTCTATTCATATACTCCCTCCGTCCCGTTGGAATGTTCCCGTTTTGACCTATTAAGGAAATAAACTTACGAGGGGGTAAATTTTACTGTTTGGACACTGTTTGACACTGTTTTGCACTGTTTGACACTGTTTTGATGTAGGATAAGTTTCCATTTAGGAAAATGGGAACTTCTTTTTGGGACATCCAAAAAAGGAAAGCGGGAACATTCCAACGGGACTGAGGGAGTAGAATTGTAGCCGTTTCTTCTCAAAAGGAGCATCTAAAATTAGGAAGTTGTATATTGTAAGTGCCATATCAATTAAATAATACTACTAATCCGTAGTTTATTATTCTAACATGATAAAATAGATATCACATCCATAAAAGCTAACAATTAAATTCTAAGGTTAAGTGCTTTGTCACACTAAAATACTATCAGGCTAGGGTTCAATTTGCATATCAATCTAAAATCCAAACATGTAAACCTCTCAAGTCTCAATACTACGTAGTGTATGTTAAGCAAAAAGAATCTCACCTATGAAAGAAATCTACAACATCCATGGTTTTCGTATCAAACAATAGTACAGGGAATTCAAGTATTTCAACTTTCCCTTCCAAATCGAGCACGAGAAGAAAATCGAAACCCTGCTGCAGCAAGTTCCTCGATTGCAAAATATTTGCCGCTAGCTTCCCAGCCACGGAGCAACTGTGATTGAACTTCTCAGTATGTGTCACATCATCCATCTAAATTGACGCCATAAATGAAAAATGTAGTTCTAAAAGTGAAATTTTCTTATGGGAGGTTGCTGAGGGAAGTGATTACCTTAGTGCATTTACCTTGAGTGAAGTACAAGCACGTCGGCTTCCACCGAACGTTCTGCGGTTGGGCTGTCGAAGAAATCAGAGGCGAGCTTGATTCTTCCGTCATTATTGACTGAGAGGCAAAAACGCTGAATTTGCGGCTGCATTGGAGGCCTAAAGATAAATATGAAGATGTAAATGGAAGCGATGGCGACAGAACGTGATACCTGCGGAACACAGAGGCCGCTGAGAGAGCCATTTCTGCTTAATTGGAACCTGGAAGAGTCCGGTTCAGAAGGTCAATCTATTGAAATAGATATACGCCCCCCGTTTGCAAACACACACAAAAAAAAAAAAAAAAAAAAAAAAAGTGAAAAGATGTTTTCAAATGACAACTTCTATTTAAATGAATTGCTTAAAAGTTAAAAGCTAGAATCGGCTTTTTACTTTTTTTTATTACACAAAAAACACTTATTTTACCAAATAGCATCAACTTTTACTTTTCAAAATCACTTTTTCTCAAACACTGCCAATTTTTCCTATTAATCACTTTTTTACCAAATCATTTAAAAAAGTTAAAAGGACTTCCCAGTTGTGTTTGCAAACCGTTAATAAGCAATTTCATTTTTAGTTTGGATGAGGTGTTAGGGGTGTTTGGAACTGTTTCTTTTTTAAAGCAAAAGTAGAATCAGAATCATTTTTCAGAAGCTGGTCTCCCCCAACTTCTAAAAAACTGATTCTATGAGTAAATTAGAGCACCAGAATCACTTATGCACTTTCACCCAAACACTTCAACTCATGCTTCTGTTCCCGGAAGGAGCAAAAGCAGTTTTGAAAATCAGATCCAAACACTCCCATAGTAATGGAAGTGTTAGGATGTTTTCTTTTGGACTTGAATTTGTTGGCCTGGTCTGGTCTGGTCTGGTCTGGTCTGGTCTGGTCTTGTCTGAACTAATCTGGTATGGTCCGGTAAATGTCTCGTCTGTGTGTATTTTATAACTATGGAAGTCAAGTCTAGTCTGGTTTGATCTGGTCTGATCTGGTCTGAGAAAAGTGGACAATTGAGGTGATGGAAAGGTTATTATTAACACTTCTTAACCCTTACTAACACTTCTTAACACATCTTAATTTCTCTCTCAAACAAGTGTTAGTATCAACACTTACTAACACTTCCATTACTAACACTCTCTAACACTCAATGCAAACAGACCGTTAATTTGGCGTGAAGCAGGGGCTGAGCCAAGATTCTCTCACAGGGGCTACAAGAAGAGTACAAACAATATAAAGAAAAGTATTAAAATAAAAATAGAGTTCATAAATAGATTATTATTGTTTTATTTTCAAAATAGAACTTTTTTTGGCAATTCTTTCTAACCTATTATAGTATTTGTTCTATGTTAAGGCCAACATCCTTGAATTGGGATGCGATTCGAACATGTGACCTCCTTCTTGAGAGTGTAACAGTAATGTCGTCAAGAATGATCAAGTCATAGCTACCTTATAGAATCCACTGTCCGACTTCCTATGTTTGAGGTGCTTCTGGATGGACTTTCTAGATACGGTTTTATGACAATGTTCTTTATGATGTGTAGTGTAAGGCTTTTCGATCTTCCAGCTCAGGTCTCCAGCCACACGAACCCAAGGGTTCTTATACAACTCACAACCACCACACAGGACCTACCGGACCGGGAACAGACCACCAAAGGCACCAGAAACCCAGACCCAAACCCAGCTACCCTCTCAAACCCCTCCCTAGAACCCACAGAGCACACACACACACAAAGGTGATGAAGAGAGGTGCGGAAGAAGGAGAAAGGCTAGAGAGAAGCCAGACCCTCTCTCTCTAAACCGAAGGCTCTAGAACTAGGGTTACACATATGCGGCTCGCTCAAGAGGCAAAGGCAGAACAAGGGAATAAGTAGCCGGGTCAGACAAACCCAGGAAGGTAAGTAGGGTAAGGGCCGAGGCTCAAAAGGAAACGGGCCAAGAAAGGAACAGGTGGGCTGGGTGGTATCCAAATGGCATCAGGCCCAAGTCTCGGGTAATTGGAATAAAAGGCCAAAGCCCATAGGGCCAATACCTCTAACATTCTCCACCTTATTGGTCCTATGTGGTGTAGAGCAAAAATGTGGCGTGGGAAAGACTCATCATCGCTGGTTGCCTAAGATATCCAAAGATATCAAAGGCCAACAATTGGAGATATCTCAAAGACACTCCCTGGATCCCCCAGGATCCAGAAACAAAAAAAAATTGGAAAGTGTAATGCACACTTTCCTGACCCAGAAGGATCAAAGGGACAGACCGAATGCTCAGAGAACACAATGTCCTCAGAGCAAAGCCCAGAAGTGTGGTCCACACCTCAAGGGCCAGTACCTGCAAAAAACAAACAACATCTATCCACAGTCCAGATTAAGAGTTCGTTTACAAGAAAGTAATTTCTCAACAGACAGGCACTTGGTCCCCATATCCGCAGGGTTGAACTCTGATGGGATTTTCTCCAACATGATATCTCCAGCCTCCACAATCTCTCGAATGAAATGGAACCTGACATCAATGTGTTTAGTCCTGTCATGGAACACAGGATTCTTGCAAAGCTGAATGGCCGACTGACTATCTGAATAAACAGTAATTCCCTGCTTAAGAAAACCTAGATCACTGACAAGCCTTTTAAGCCAGATGGCTTCCTTGAAGGCCTCAGTGGCAGCAACATATTCAGACTCAGTAGTGGACAAAGCAACTATGGGTTGCAATTGGGATTTCCAACTGATACAGGACCCACATAGAGTAAAAACATAGGAAGTGGTAGACTTCCTATTATCCCTATCATTAGCATAGTTAGAATCCACATATCCACGCAACACAGTACCATCAGAACACTTAGAAAATAACAATCCATGATTCACAGTAGATTTCAGGTATCTCAACAACCATTTCAAAGCATTCCAATGAGGCATACCAGGATTAGACATAAACCTGCTCAAGCAACTCACAGCATATGCAATGTCAGGTCTGGTGCTTACCATTAGGTACATAACAGACCCTATTGCACTGGAGTATGGAACAGATTTCATCTTACCAATTTCAGAATCAGTCTTTGGGGACTGATCCTTACTTAACACAAAATGAGAAGCTAAGGGCACATTCACAGGAGATGCAGATTGCATATTAAATTTACTCAAAACCTTTTCAACATAAGAAATTTGGTTTAACAAAAGAGTAAATTTGCTCCTATCTCTAATGATGTTAATGCCTAGGATCCTTTTGGCATCCCCTAGGTCTTTCATGGAAAAATTTTCACAAAGACAATTTTGCACATGAATAATGGAATCCAGATTAGGGCTGATAATCAACATGTCATCCACATAAAGCAATAAGAATACTGGCACAGAGGAGGTATCCTTATAATACAAGCAATGATCACACGTAGACTTAACAAATTTCAAAGATTTCATGCATTGATCAAACCTAATATTCCATTGCCTAGGAGACTGCTTCAGACCATATAAGGCCTTCCTTAGCAAACAAACAAAATCACTCTTATTGGGATCCACAAACCCTTCTGGTTGGGTCATATAGATCTTTTTGTCAAGATCACCATGCAAGAAAGCAGTGGTCACATCCATCTGTTTCATTTCCCAATTAAAGTGAGCAACAAGAGCAAGCATGATTCTAACAGTAGTGAATTTAACCACAGGAGCAAATATCTCAGCATAATCTACCCCCTCTTTTTGAGTAAACCCTTTAGCCACCAACCTAGCCTTAAACCTAACACCCTTAGGTTCTTCCTTGACCTTAAACAACCACTTGCATTCAACTACAGAGCAGTTAGGGGGTCTAGGAACTAAAGTCCAGGTTTTGTTAACTCTAAGAGACTCCATCTCACTATTCATGGCTTCCACCCACTTATGAGACTCCTTAGAACTAAGGGCTTCCTTATAGGTCTTAGGTTCATTCAACTCCAAGGTCTCAAACACAGAGTAAGCAAACAGGGAGGTATCATGCACATGAAAGGCATAATCAGACATAGAATCAGAGACTTTCTTAACAGTTCTCCTACTTCTATCTCTGGCAAGCTGATAATCATGCAAATCAGGTATATCATGCTCCATAGAAGTTTCATGTTGTTCAGTATCATGCATTTCAGAATCATGAGAGAACTCCACCCCACTAGAAGAGGTGGTATCATGCACACTAGTATCAGAATCATTAATACTATCAAACAAAGGAATGGTAGCAGCAGGAACAGACTCCACCTCAGACTGAACTCCCTCAGAAACAGGACTAGAGGTAGGAACACTCAGACAGGGAAACTCAGATTCATTAAAAATGACATCCCTACTGATTATCACCTTAAAACCCACTTGGTTTCTATCCCACAGCCTATAACCTTTAACCCCCTCAGGATACCCTAAGAAAACACATTTCTTAGATCTAGGATCCAGCTTATCAAGCTGTTGGTGGACATAGGCAGCACAACCAAACACTCTAAGGTTGGATAAGTCTAGGGGTTTACCAGAGTACACAGTTTCAGGGCACTTTCCTCCTAAAGGAACAGAAGGGGACCTATTGATTAAATAGGCAGCAGTGTTAACTGCTTCACCCCAGAATTTCTTAGACAGTCCGGAGGTAGCAGGAAGACTTCTTACTTTATCAAGCAAAGTTCTGTTCATACGCTCAGCAATACCATTTTGCTGGGGAGTATAGGGCACAGTTTTGTGCCTTTTTATTCCCCAGTCAGCACACAATTTGTCCATCTCTCTATTACAAAACTCTAGGCCATTGTCAGTTCTAAGGGCTTTAACCTTAAGACCAGACTGGGTTTCAACTAAGGCTTTCCACTCCTTAAATTTCTCAAAAACATCAGATTTATGTTCTAAGAGACACACCCAAACTTTCCTAGAGAAATCATCTATGATAGATAGAAAATATCTCTTACCACCATGGGTAGAGACACTAGCAGGACCCCAAACATCAGCATGAACATATTCTAATGCAGATGTACACTTAGACAGATTTGGATAGGTAGAAGTAGGGAAACTGACCCTATGCTGCTTACCAAGCACACATGTTTCACAGAAGGGCACAGAAGAAACACAATCTTTACCAAAGTAACCAGATTTATGCATGATTTCTAGACCCTTATTACTCATGTGACCTAACCTATTATGCCACAACACAGAGTTATCAGGACAAACAGCATTGGCAGATTCAGAGAAGGGTAAAGCATGGCATACATACAGATTATTCACTTTCAAAGCTTTAAACATAACCAAGGAG